TGGTCTTAGGAACCGAGACGCCGCTCCTCTGTCTCCAGGCGGGTCCGTCCACATGCAGATACACCCACCTACGAGTCCCCATCGTTGACTCATCCCTTCCCTATGACCTCTCTGTGGGGGACGTTCCATTGGTTACAGATGGGCTTTGGGTCTCCGCTCAAGAATAACAATTTTAGAAAGCTCTATGGGGCCAGTTCTCCTCGGGCCACATTGGGCTGCATCAGAATGGATTTAACAACTGGGTGGAGTAGGGTCCTCATCCCCTCTGAGCAGCGCCATCATTGAAAGACAAAAACTTGAGCCTAACGAAGAAACGGTCACACACCTCATGCCACCAATGGGTTTAGAAGACTTGCTGGTGAGCAAAGAAGTGAGTCAAGCCCAGAAAGACAACCATTGGGGTCGGGGGTCGGGGCTGGGGGAGAGGAGGACTCAAACAGAATGAAATATTTTGAAAACGACGATGCCAACCTAGGTACAAATGTGCTTGACACAATGGTTGGATGCATGATGGTCAGAGCTGTCAGAGCCCCCAATAAAATGATTTAAAGAAATAAAAAGAAGAAGAAGGGATAAAAAGAATAATGGCAACCTAGGTACAAATGTGCTTGACACAATCACAATGGATGGATGGATGGATGGATGGACGGATGGATGGACGGATGGATGGATGGATGGATGGGGATAAGAGCTGTCAGAGCCCCCAATCAAGTGATTTTTTAAAAAGAAATAAAGACAGAAAGGTGATCATTGTATGAGACTCCTGTTGTAGAAGAAAGGCAAAATTAAGAAAGAGGGAAGAAATGTTTTCCTACCAAAAGAAACGGGCTTTGATGGTGATGGGGTGGGCAGATGGGGAGAAAAAGAGAAGGTGGGAGCCAAGAAAGAAAGGGAGGGAGGGGGATAGAGAGAGGAGGAGAGAAGGCATGAAAGAAAGAAGAAAGAGAAGAAAACAATGTGGGACAGGGCGGATGGAAAAAGACAAAGGAAGAAAGTGGTAGGAAGGGGAGCCCCCGTGAGGGGTTGACTGGGACACTGTAACCGGTGTGAAGACAGGATGGGCCGCTGTACAACTACAAACAGCAGATCCCACACACAAAAGGGGGAAAAGAATGAACATGAATAAAAAGACAAAGGTTGCAGCCTTCAAACCCCCCAGATTACACACACACACACACACACACACACACACACACACACACACCCGCCATCAGATCTAAACACTGGTCTGAGTGGCTACACAGAAAGGGAGGGAACGTGAACCTGAAACTGACTAATTATATGGTGACACACAAGCTAGTTTCAAACCAACCAACCAACCCATCTTGTGGAAGGCAATCTCAAATTCCTTTCAAACATGAAACCACTGGGGCAGTTACATCATCTCCAATCAACCAGAGTGAGGGGGTGGAGTCTAGCCTGTCAATCAGGTCAGAGCCAATGAGGCCTCTGTGTGGGCAGGGCCTTCTTCTGAGGATTCTGGGAACTCCTACCTTCCTCCCTGCAGGCAGGACATCCCTGCTGCATCTTCCCACTGACAAGGCACATGGAGCTACCCTGATGGCAGCCAGAGCCCTGGAGCTGGAGGAGCCACCGGGAGACCCATGCCAGCAATGAGATGCTTCCACCACCATGAGATCCACCAGATTTTCCACCCACTGGCCTGTGCTCTTCCTGCATTCGGCATCATTGCAAGGCTGTGTGAGTCTGAAGAGGAATTTATAGACTGGTATCAGACCTATGGGCTAATATTGGACTTAGGGACTTGATCTGGACTGGGCTGGGATGTTTTCTTAATAGACAATTCCTCTTTGATATAAAGCTCTCTCTTACATGTAGATGAGTGCCCTGGATTTGTTTCTCTAGTCAACCCAGACTAACACAACCACCTTCCAGGCTGGTTGAGACCAGAGGACCCCTCAAGACAATCACCCTGAGGTCACTCTTCAAACCCAGGGACCAAACCAACTCCTTGCCCCAAGGTCACTTTGTAGCTAAAGAGCCGATTGGCTCAAAAAAAATCAGGAGCACCACCAAGAATGACTTCAAAGATAAAGACAAGAAAACTAAGAGGGCAGGGAAGCTAGATGAAGGGAAATGGAACAAGCAGAAAGAAAACCATGAGGTTGTTCACACCGTAAAGAATGCAACTCGCAGCACCAAACAACCTGTGTTGAAACTGTTGAAAGGGAAGCGAGACCTTCAAAGGGTGACAAGAACCTTCAAAAAGGGCATAATAAAGTATGACTTTGCTAGAAGAAGAAGAAGAAACAACACAGTGGGGCATGTGCCAATGGAGAAGTTGGAGTGATGCTGCCACCAGGAATGCTGAGGGGCTGCCAGAAGCTGGAAGGGACAAGGCAGGCTTCTTCCCTAGAGCCTTCAGAGCACAGCCCTGCCGATGCCCTGACGTCAGACTCCTGACCTCCAGAACCAAGAGCCAATGCACTCCTGTGGTCTTAAGACACTCAGCCTTCCACCATCCCCAGGTCGTTAGTACACACAGTCCCATTGTCCGAAGGCGGCGCTCACCCCAGCTGGGGCGCCCAGACTCACCTTGGTCAAGGTGTACATCCCCAGCAGGTTCACCTCCAGGAGCTGTCGGAAACCTTGGAGAGAAGTCTCTTCAGGCCACTGCGGGGGTGGATCTAAGAGTGAGAATGTGGCAGAGAGAAGAGGAAAGAGTGAGTGGAGCCTTGTAACCAGAGAAAGGGCGGAAGGGGGCCCAGGGAGCCACAAGCAGGAGGTGAGAAGGAAGGGAAATAGTGGTGGAGCAGGTAAGACCAGTGTTGGGCTCTCCTCGTCTGGAGCAAAAGAGAAGGAAGGAAACTAAAGGTTCAACGAAGAAACTAGTCCACAGGACAAGCAGCTCATGTGAACCATGGGGACCAGGAGAGCTAGAAGGTGCCCCACAACTAAGGACTGTTTTGACTGGGAACACAATAGAGGGTCCCTGATACAAAGAAAGAAAAACACAGAACAGAGCTCAAATTCTTTTTTTTTCCCCCTTTCTTTTTTAAAGCCAGGCTTACTAGACCAGCAGAGGCTAAAGGATTCCCCATGACTGTCACCCTATGATTCCTTTGAACCCAAGGTCACCTTCCAGGCAAATAATGCATTGCTCATAAAATGAGCAACATCGCCCACGAGCCAGCATGATGCTCCTTGTAAATAACCAACAATGGGACAACACAGGCAGCTTTAATCCTAAGTCAACTTTCATCTTAAGCCAACATAGAGATCGTAGGGAGGGGAGGGGCAACTAGATCAATGGAAACAGAACAACGTGAATGGGAATCATGAGTAAATGCTGGCAGGGGGGTGGAAAATGTCACCCATGTCCCAGGACAATCGTACGAAATTGTTTAATGGGTGTGGGGGTGCAGAAAGGTTTTTTCCCCCAGGTTGTTCCCCCATATCATATGCCAAACCTAAGATGCTACTTGCTAACACATGGCCAATGTCTGTCCACTTGGTGGTCAGCTGCTTAAAGGTCATCTCCCTGAGGTTTATCAGCCACATGGAGCAATCAGACTCTATTGTCTGTCCCACCCTAGTGGATTATTCCCCTAAAGGAGAGCTCAAAGACAAGGTCGAGCCAACTCAAAGAAGGTCGAGGTTAGGTTGCCATCCTGACTTTAGAGCCTGCCCATCTTGACACGGGTATTCCCCTAGGACTCCCCTTCCCATACCGACTCCACCCCTAGCTCGTCCCCTTCCTGTTACGTATATGGTTACCTGTAATCAGGGGGGGCTTACATGTCCCCTAAATGTATACAAGCTGCGATTGGAAATATATTCTCGTTCTCTGGCGGACCTGGCTGGTGAGATCATGGCGGTCCTGGAAGTGAGCACTCACGTGCTTTATCTTGTCTGATGTCTCTTTCATTTTACCCCTCAATGACCCAACTGTCCCTTAGTTCCCTTCGATTGTGGGAGTTGGTACCCCACAATAAGAACTTCACTTGCTGTGTGAATTTTTCCCTGAAGCACACCCAAATATCAAACTCACTACCATCGCGTCAACGCCAACTCGTAGCCACTCTATAGGACAGGGTAGAACTGGCCCTGTGAGTTTCTGAGACTGTAACTCTATGGGAGTAGAAAACCTCATCTTTCACTGGAGTGGCTGGTGGCTTCGAACTTCTGACCTTGCACTTAGCAGCCCAATGCCTAATCACTACACCATCAGGGCTCCTCACAAGAATATATTATTTTTAAAAATAAAGTCAGATGTCAGCACTCAGATCAGTCCCAGCAGTGCCCTTCCCTGGCTGTGTGACCTCAGGCCAGTCACCTTGTCTCTCCACCTGCAGAGCACAGCTTGGGCTTATAACTGTCACGAGTTAATAACTGTACCTGATACTGAATGCCATGCATGTATTTGTGGAGTACATAGTAGGACTTGGGGAAAAGGATAGTTAAAAATGCCCCACATTCTCCCCAAAAGAACAACAAACAAACAAATCTGTTTTGAAAGAAGACTAGCCAGAATGCTCCTTAGAAGTGTTTTAAACACGTACCCCCCCCCCAATTTCAACTATAATTAGAAAAGAACATGTATTAAGCTTTAAAAGAGGCAAAAACAACATAAAGACCCAGATTCATCAGATGAAGGTGAGGCGGGGGTGGGGTGGGGCATGAACAGGAGGTCAATGGCATCCAAGGATTCCCAACTGGGAAAGAAGATACATAGGGTGGGGGGACTGTCACAAAAGTATGATTGGCGGCAGATCACCATGACAGGTGGGACTTGGGACTACAGTGTTGCACCGGGCAAGGTCAACCACACGACTATCTTAATAACTAAAGCCTTTATTAAACAGCTAGATCGAGAGCAGGCTAACAACGCCTGGAGCCCTCTCGATCCAGAACAAAATTCCAAACTTTTCAGAGTTCAGAATGGGGGGCTGGCTCAAGGGGAGGGATATCCTAGCTGTTCATTCTTATTGGGGTAGTGGGGTTGTGGGGACTAGCACAGCTCCAGGTGCTAAATCAAGGTCTCACGAGATAGCATACATTTCTTGCTAATTGGGAAGGCAGGGTTTGGAGAAGTCTCCTGAGTGTCAAGTTCTTGTTGGGAGGGCCAGGAGAGGGAAGAGAAGGGGGCTAGCTGTTAGCAGGGGTTAAAGTCAGTTTGAAATAAAGTGGATTTCCTTCGTGTTTGGGATATGGGTTTGGGCCGGGTCTGGACCAAGGCAGCCCCTTGTACCAGCTTCTTGAGAAGACAGATGACCTGGCTGAACTTCAAAGCACCTGAACTTCAAAGCTCCTGCCTTCAGCGTTTCACAGAGCTTACCTGCCCAGACAGAGCACAGCCCCCCCTCTCCCTAGCATTGTTTCCTAAGAACAAGATGATTTACTGACAGGAGGTCACCTACCCCGAAACTTGCAACCAACACAAAGAACCTCCCTTCCCCTGACCGGCTCATATGCTTTTAAGCTCATACCCTATATATGTCCCACCGCCCCAGTACCAGGCATGACTTCCCTGACCTAACTCATTGGGTTGCGGAACCCGCCCAGGGGCTCAAGATGCCCCCACCCCTTTCCTTGCTCTTCCTTTCCTCCCTCAATAAAATCCTTTCCTTTCACTTCTCATTTTTGTCTAAACCCTGTCGCTGTCCTGCAACCCCGTCTCCACCTCTCAATATGTACATCGTCAGCTTGAAGGGCTTACAAGACTGGTCCAGAGCCTTCCGACCAAGGCAGTCAGGGAAAGGCTGGTAACACATGAACGCATGACTATTCACCAGGAAGCCCTGGGGACAGTGGTTGGTGATACGTTGGGCTGCTAACCAGTTCAATACCACCAGCCGCAGGAGAAAAACTGGGCTTTCCACTCCCGTGAAGAGAGTTGAGTTAACAGTCTAGGAAAATTTACCGGGGCAGTTGAGTCGGCATCGACTGGCTAGCTGGGGGTTTGGGTTTGGGAAGGTCCGCAGGACAGTGACTCCCATCTAGGACACACCTAGGCAAGCACTTCAAAGAGAGACTATCCCTCCCTGGGCTGTCCACTCTTCCCTGCACTCTGCCCGAGGGCAAGATCATCTACATCCTTCCTTAAGGAGCACAAAGCATTCTAAGGAGGCTTCCTCTGTATGGGGACTCTGCAGATGGATTTCAGCCTGTTCCTTCCTTTTGCAAACCAGGATGCCCAGAATTTAAACTCTCAGCATCGAAGCCAGGTACTTTGGGCATGGTATCAGGAGGGATCCATCCCTGGAAAAGGACATCATGCTTGGTAGTGTCATCCGGACAACAAAGAACTCCCACAAGGAGATGTGTACCGGGAGGACCTGGGAGGACGCGGAGGTGGCCTCTTCTGCACAATGGAGACCACGGGGCTTGGAAGACCAGCGTGTGTAAGACGGCCTCCACGGTCCCAAGATAATAGCGCCAAAGGCGCACATTCTCTGTGACACCTCTTCACATCCACCCTCCATAAAATGGTAAGCTGTCTCCTCCAGATGCCTGACTTCCCAGTCAAAGGATCTCTGCCCTTAGGAGTATCCGCTGCCTTTGTTTCATTCTTAAGCAGCTGACTGACATGGTTTGTTTCTAGCTAGCCAGAAGGCTCAAGATGTTCAAGATGAACACATTGCCCATCTCATTGTATGTACTAAGGAGAGGCTTGCAACGCCCACTACTACAAAGCCTTATTGTTGAATCAACGCCAGTGTGGGAAACGAACACGGAGGGAGATAGGACAAAGATCAGATTCCCTAACTTATCACAGAAGGAATCTGGAAAGCTGGTCTTCCACGGTAGGAAAGCTGGTCTTCCACGGTAGGAAAGCCTCCACTTTGGTCAGTTAGAGGTCAAGTCCAAGTCCATGATCCTGCTTTAAATAGCATTCCCACAGATTCTCCCCTAAGAGCCATGCTGCCTTCAAGGGAGCACATGGTGGATGTTATCTCCCTACAGAAACAGACATCCCGTTGCTGTATCTCCCTGCCCTGTCACCCAGCTCCCCTCCTACGTTCCCCCAATGCAGGCACGAGGTTTCCTCACCTGTGAGCTCAGGGACCTTACTGTAGTCCACCCACCTTGTGAGGTATGTCACTACTCAATATGCATGTTTTAAGGCTACCTATCAGTGTCCCAAGAGAGTAAAGACACTCTCTTCTCCCAGTTCCATGTGGTCCATCAAGAGGGGCCAAGGTGAGCATGCTACCAAGAAATGTGTCTGCCTCTTTTATTGTACTCTCTCTCTACCTTCGATGACTTTACTATGACCTCTATAGATCATCACCGTGCAATTGCACCTACGGATCCTTCGGTTGTCATAGACTGGTTTCCTCTGATAATCCAGACCGCTCTTCTCCCCAGATTGGAAATCAGTCCCCCGCACCCCACTTTCCTGTCTTCTTGATTCTACACTTGCACACACGTCACTCCTAAGGACCCCGACCCGTTCCACGGTGGGACTGGAGCCCACAGAGATGGATTTGGCACAGTGGCTGCACCAATGGGCTCAAACCTAACAAAGACGGATGTCTCAGGTCCAAGGACAGCAGCAGACATTTCTTCTTTTACAAAGCTTACTCTGTCGTCTTCTCTGCCCAAGTAAAGGACACCAGCTCACGGAAGGAAGCTGACATCCAGCCCACTGGATTAAAGGCCACCAACCAGAAAGAGGCACTGATTCATCAAAGACTTAAATACCTGGGAACATCCTTTGTTCACCCTCTGGCTGTTCTTGGGTCTTGCCCTAGGCACACCGACCAGGCTCAGGCTCCACCACGCCCCTCCCCCCCACCACCACTATTTAACTCTTTCCTCACCAAACTCTGTTGTAGTTTATTAGTATTACCTACTTGTCTCTTCCTTGATGTAATAGAGGCTCTTGTGGTCTTGATACCTGTTAAGTCAGCTAGCTCTCTGGCTTTATGTTACAGTAAACCAGCCTCTAGGCTCAGCCATATGGCGATAATCTATAAAGATGATAGTAGTCATAGAGAATAGGAGAGGTAGGAGAGAAGGTAAAATAAAGAAGTCAGATACATTTCGTGGTCGCATGCTCACCTCTGGGACAGCCATGATTTCAGCAGTCAGGTCCCGTGCAGACAGAGGGAGGAGGTGAGGGTATATTTTCCATCACAGCTTATATATACTTAGGGGAGGGGGGACGGGCAAGCTCCCCTGATACAGGTAACCACCTACATCACAGGAAGGGGTTGAGCCATTGGCAATACAAGCAATGGGAAGGGATGATCTCGGGGTGTATCCACAAGGGGAAGGGATGATCTTGGGGTGTACCCACAAGGGGAAGGGATGATCTCAGGGTGTACCCACAAGGGGAAGGGATGATCTCGGGGTGTACCCACAATAGGAAGGAATGATCTCGGGGTGTACCCACAATAGGAAGGGAAGGGTCTAGAGGTTTACATGTGTCGAGATGGGCACATCCTTGATTCAAGATGGCAGCCTAACCTGGGTCCTCCTAGAGTGGGCTACACCTTGTCTCTGGGCTCTCCTTCAAGGAAACAATCCACTACCCTTACCAGCTGGGTGACAGCCCCCACCCCAAGGTGGGACAGACAATCATGCCTGATTGGATAGATGGCTGCTGCCCTCAGGGAGAGAACTTCTAACAGCTGACTGCTAGCAAGCAAAACCTGTCTGCATCCCACAGGTTAGACTAAGGGCAGGCTCTAACCTTTCTTTACCTGGCTAACCTAAATTCCTTTCACTTCATTTCCTTTGATCTCCGGTTCCCTACAAACTTCACCTCCCTCAATAAATCCTTTCATTAAAGGTCTAGCTCTGTATCCTGTCTCTGAGCGACCTGACAGGA